TGTGAGTAAAAAAAAAAAAGGTAATATTTCACTAACCATGTTTCTAGCTTAAATGTTTTTGAAATGGTACATTTTTTTATTTTTATTTTTACCGAGTAACAATATCATTTTCAATATATGATCTTGGAGAACGAAATGTGTAAGTTTCCCTTCTTAATGAAAAATAGACGACAATGAATAAATAATAATTTATAAACATTCTTTTAATTTTATTTCTTAAAAAAAAAAAAATTAAAAAAAAAAATCAGGGAGAACCAAATGTGTAAGTTTCTCTGATGAAAAATAGACTACAATGAATAAATAATAACTTTTATTTAGACTATGGACCTTCCTTTTCCCTGGTTAATGTAAAATTTTGATGGCACATAAAAAGAGTCCTCCCCTAAACAACTTAAAYAATATAATAGTAACTAATGATTCACTAAATATTGATTATTGCAATTTTAGTATATATATATATACACACTAATATGCTACCACGTGTAAATACACAAAATATTTTTAATCTAATTTAATTTAGTAGTGAAATCAATAAATAGAAGGACAAAAATGTAATACCACTAATTGTAAAATAAATAAATAAATAAATAAAGAAGAAGAAAATTCAAATGTCTAACTTTCTCGAGATATATTTATTTATTTGAAAGCAGAATAGGTTTTAAAAGAAAACATATTTGATCTTTGTTAGGGTATTTTTCTGAAATTTTTTTAAAAGGATATGGTGAATTTATCAATTTTCAATTGGACATCTAGAAATAAAATCTATGAACCAAACTATTTAGAGATATTTGTATGAATACATATAATTTTTTTATTATTTTAATTTTACACCACGTAAGTGTATATTTGAAATTTTAATAACTTTGATGCAAGTTCAGGATTATAAAAAAAAATAAAAAATAAAGAAAAATAGACAATCATATTCAATAGCATTTTTATTAAATAATTAATGATATTTTTGTAATTTAAGTAATGTTTAAATAACCCTAATCACTCATTTTCTCTCAAAATCTCATATTTCATTTCTTTGCGCAACCACTATATCAAATGTCCATCTCTCCTCCTTAATCTCTAGTCTTCTTCCATCACAACCATCATCGTCATCATCTTATTGCTTGCTGCCACCACACTAGTGTTTGTCACTACGACCCGCTGGTGCTCGTCACTACTATCCACTAGTGGTCACCATTACTGCCATTGGTGCTCATTGTTATCGCCACACTGATATTATCGATCATTTTTTGTAGCAATCTTCGCCACTCCTGTTTTTTCAATAGAAGAAGATTTTAAAATAAATGTAGTAAAAAAACATAGATCGAGGAAATGAATACAACTTTTTTGTAGGGAGAGGGTACACAATTTTTGGAAATAAAGATGCGTCCAACAAAGAAAGAGAGCTACTTATTTCGACATCACTTTGGACTTTTGTTATCTATTTTCTCCTTCTCATTCATCAATTACATTATTCTTGTTCAGAATCAGCTTCCCTTTGCACTTTTTTGTTTAACTTTTTTCACTCGCTAAAAAATGGATTTTGAAAGTTTGATTCTATGTTTTATGTTTATATATTTAGGTGGAATTTTAATAATTTTGGAACTTAATTAAGTTGTCGGTTACAAAAAGAATAAGTTTTCGTTTTGTTTTAAAACAACTTCATTATTGTATAGGAAGGTGGCCAAATTGCATATGTGTGCAATCAATTCATTAATGAAAACAAATTTTATATTTTCAGAATTAGTTTGAGTTTATTTGTTTGCACTAAATAAAAAATTAAAAGAGTATTATTATCCAAAAATAATTTTTAATATCCTACCTTTTTAATACAATATATAAGTATATATATATTTTGATGTAGACTTATATATATATTTTGATGTAGACTAGTCTAGATATTGATTTGCCATAATATTCGTATATCTTCAATTGTCCTATATATATTGATTGATGTTAATAATTGATATGCATGTTCTGTTTTTTTTTTATATGGAAATATATATATATTTTTTATTTTGTAGCTCTATTATTTAGTAGGTGATATTATATTTTTTTTGGCTATTATTATTATTATTAATACAACAAGTGGGATGGAGATTCGAACCCAATATCTTTTAATCGAAAATAAGTATCTTAACTAGTTGAACTAGGTTCAAGTGGCCTCCTAACTATTAAATGCTTTTTTGAACTTATTTTTAAAAAATTAACAAGACCTTAATAAGACATCAATATTGCTTTGCCAAATTTAGACACGTGACTATGTAATTTTGAGAAGTTTTATTTTAATTACATTGTATAATATTGAAATTTTTTACTACACATCCATGATCTTGAAGTAGCCTAAGTTTCGAGGTGCTTCTTAGAGTACATAGATTTAGAATATGGTGTATAGATACAGATATAAATGCACTTTAATGTTGGTCATTAAAGATAAAAGCATTAACACACCTTTAATCTTAATTAATTAATTAATAAATGAGGCATTGAACACTCAGCTTTATTTTTCTTTTACTTACTCACTAGTTGAATGTAACTAGATTTGATTTGGGTTAATGTATAGGAATAAATAAGGTAGGTTTTGTATTTTTTTTTTCCCTTTTATACAATATGTAGAGATAGGAGATCGAACTCACAACCTGGTGGTTGGAGATATATGTCAATTATCTCTGAACTATGCTTGCTTTAGTGACAGGTTTTATATTTAAGTCTATTTGGGTGTGTCTAAGGATAAAATTTTTATAAAAAGGAGGAAAAGTGATATGAGGTTGTTCGAATTTAGGGGAGCATTTTGGGAGCTTATATTGTACCTCCTCAACGATTACAGATAAATGCAAAAATAGAGACTTTTTACAATAATAATGAGTTGAGGTCTTCAAAAAACTCGATAATCCAACGAACCCAACCTGATCGAGTCGGGTCGGGTCTCGAGTTCAACCTTTAAAAAAATTCGGGTCAATCCGACCCACTCTCGAATTTATGCATGCATATATATATATATATATATATATATATATATATGTTTTTTTAATTATAAATAATATAATAATATCTTTATCTTTAATCTCAACACTCCATCTAGTTTTAATCTCAATCTGATTATCTTCTTCCATTTTGTATTTCAAGCAAATTCTCCCTTCTTCCTTTCACCATTTCTTCTCTCACTCAAGCTCTTCGTCGCCGCCGTTAGCTCTCAGTCGCCATCATTAGCTTTTCGTTGTCATCATTAGCTCCCCGTCGCCAGCTCCCTATTGTTGTCGTTAGCAGATCCAGAAGTCTCGTCGGGCCGTTGTGGAGTAGCTCATTGTTGCCAGCCGGTTGCAGCATCTTCAACCCGACAACCCAACCCAATCCAATTTGAAAATATTGGGTTGGATTGGGTTGGGTTGGCCATCCAATTCAAGCTTGATAGTTTCTATATATAGTCAACCTGAAAATTTAGGTTGGTCACCAAAACCACCTCTAACTCGACCAACCCAATTCGTGAACACCACTAACAATAAATGAGTTGTCAAATAATTAATGGTGAGAAGGATACGCCGTTGAAGTACCAAGTATTTACCTAAGTACCGTGCAAGAATTTTTAAGACATGCCTCCAAAGAGATGAAATTAAACAAAGTAAGCTTAGAAAGTGCATTTGTAAATTCTACTTAGATGATGTAAGAAGTAGCTAAACTCTTTCAACAGCCTTGTACATGGACTAGATTGGATTACGAATTTTTGAACCTAGTTTAACTATCGTTGTGAATTTCTTTAATTCAAATCATGATCCGAATTGGGACAACTGTAAAAATGACCAAAATAAAAAGACCTGCTGATACTTTGCGCTTAAAGGCTTCTATCATTCTAGAATCGTATTTGGATTCCCTTACTCGTTGAACAATGGTAGGTGAATTTTTAGTTTGCAGTCAGCACTCGTACCTGGTTTCATGCTTCCCAATATGTCGTTTCGTTTGCAGCTGCATCCAATCGTTTTCCGTCGTCCGTTGCATTTGCTTTTTGTTGTTTCGACAGTGACCGTTCCGTATCTTTGTCCTTGCTCAGTGTCACGGTCGTACATTTTTCAACCGTACGGCGCCATGATCTAAGCTCGACCATGGCCAGCCTTACGGGAAACTCTTGCCCCATTTCACTTTTCTAACCATCTTGGTTCTCGGCCACTCGGTCGTTCTGCTCCTACGATGAGCCAGGATCTTACCGGGATGAGTTATGACCTATAACGGGGTCAGAATGAGCTTAAAACGGCAACCAAGTACAACCGGGAGATTCATGCAGCTTAGCTACGTCAAAACTAGCTTATCGGGTCCAACGGACGCCTCTAAGACCATTCCTATCGAGAAACTAGTCAATAACGGGCTAAACGGCCTTATCGGGTACTGCCGGGATGATTTCTACCGAGATCCGGACAAGGAATGACTAAACTTGGCAACCGGGATGAGTCTTGCCGCTTTCCGGGCAAAGACTAGCTTTTTCTCACTTACCGGGTGCCCACCGATACTATAGGATGCCACCCCGAGCATCGGGATGTCATCGGGCTTTGCTGATCACTTGGGCACTCATACCGAGAACCGACCCATGGACTTGTATTTATGATCGAGACCTTTCGGACATCCATCCATCCGGACATAATCGAGGCACGTCGACTCCCACGGCCGTGTCTTGATTGTTCGAGCATACCGTACCGCATAACGGCCTCTATGTGCAACCTCCAGCCCATAGGACGAGGCGCAATGCCGGCACACCCATGCCGTTCGACACTGTCCTTGAGATTCTCATTCTCGAAAGAAGACGCACAAGACCTTGGTCTTGCAACGTTCGCCCTCGCCATGACACACGCATGTGCCATGGGGTAGCTCACTTAGGCCACAGGGCCCAAGGGTGGTGGAGAGCTGACACCATGCCTCCCCCTAAGGTACATTCTAAGGCATTCTTGGTCTGTTAGACGTGTACGTGCAAAGTGGCGAGGAGTCACTCGCCAACGTAGAGAGCACGTCTGAACTCCGATTGACACGAAACTTGGAGTGCTTGCATATCTCACTTATATGCATCTAACTCTAAAACCGCTCGTCCAAACTCTCGATGAAACCCTTACTTCTAGGGTCATGGCCTGGGGCCCGAATTGGCCCCCGCTAAGCTTGTCACCGACACCACTGACATTGCCTTCGCCTTGCATTTTGCATATGCCTTCTCTAGACATTCTTGAGTACATCTATGGGGTGTGATGGGTGATGCACCATCCTCCTTGGCACCCCCTGTCGCTCTTTTTTTTTTAATAGTCATTCTTTAAATCGAGTCATTCTTCCCGTAAACAAGGATTTCCTTTAGAAGGTACCCTAATGGTAGACTGTCTGGACGTTTATTATTTACTGAGATTTTGTAATCTAAATTTAAATGGGACTACATTAAAAATAAAAATAAAATAATTATTATTTTTTTCTAATATTGACTAACCTCCTTCCTTTTTTTTGGGATATTGTTAGGGATGTGTAAATTTATATTTTGTGCATATAAGTGAAATGTCAATTTTTGTGTTATTTAACTTTTATATAAAATAGTTTCCAACAACTAGTATATTTATATAAATCAATACTTAAAATCATTTTTTAAGGGTTAAAATATAAATAATGTAGTTGCTATAACATTCACTAAAGAGCGTTCAAAAGAAGCTTCATTACTTTTTAATTAGAAAACGAGTAGGAGGGAGGGGATGCTCAGACCCTAAGAATAATTTTTGTTTATGAATTTATGGAACTATTTTATTTACATCGTAATTATGACATTATATTAATCAACATGTTAATTTGTTAAAAACGTATATTTATTTATTTTTAAATATTGAAGTAACATAAATAACTCAGTCCCAACTATAATATCTTGGAAAATTACATTCCAAGGACTGAAATTATTTTCTAGAAGTTTTAGAATAGTAAAAAAAATATAAAAATAATTGTTCAATGGAACCAAATGAAAAAGGATATTTGCATATGTAATCTCAGGTAAGTAAAAATACACTTTAAATTAAGGTTAAAATACTAGTTTGATACTTTGATTCAATTTAGTCCATCTATTTTGAAAGTGTTCATTTTGGTCTCTGTACTTTTAAAAGGTTACCATTTTGCTATTTTCATTTTATTTTAAATCTAATTTTTTATCACGATTTCAACACCACATTATAATCAATATATTTTATTACAATGTAAACATTATTTTATACTAAATCGTTTCTGTTACGTATAAAATTTGTGTTAAAATCTTGCAAAGACGGACTAAAATGATCACTTTTTAAATGTACAAGGACCAAAATAAACAATTTCAGTACAGAGACTAAAATGAACCAAAGTTAAAAGTATAGGGGACAAAATGAAATAGACTAAAATGAACAAAGGCTAAAAATATAGTAACCAAAATAATATTTTAACCTTAAATTAATAAAAACTTCAGATTCGTTCATTCAACCAAAACTAACTCACGAATTGAACCAATCGAAGAAGACATTTACATATGTCTATGAATTCAACATTGACATAAGATATAACTCAACGTTTTTACAGTATCACGAACTATATATATATCAACAAAATATGACTAATATAAATATAATAATAATATTAATAATTTTCAACTTATTTAAAAGTCCCAAAATATTTATTTATTAATATATATATTTGTAATAAATTCTTAATTTTTATAGTATTTTTAGAACTATTTGTCGATATCACATTTTCTTAAAATTGAGACCTCTACATTTCTACGGCTTGTAACCCAACCCAAAGTATTTGGGTTGGATTGAGTTTGAGTTTTCACAGCACTCCTACAAGAAGATATTTTTTGTTTAGTTATTTTACCTAATAACATCATAATTCCTTTTAACTTCCCTTTTTGGTGAGGGGTTTTGACTCAATTTTTTTTCTACACAATATTAAACATTTTATATCCACTCTATAAATTTTCATTTCTATTCATTAATCTATTCTGAAAGGGTATAATAGGGAAGGCAGAGGGAGAGAGGGAGAAACTATATATGCATATCTACTTCTCATGTAAAATGGATTCTTCAGATACAGAAAGAATTCCTAAATTGAATTCATGAACAACTCTAAGCAAGCCTCCATATATTTTCTATTCAAAAGTCAGAAAGTAATGAGGGGTCAAATTAGTGAATCTACCAAAATTTCTGAACTCTGCTTCTTCTAAACCTCCCACCATATGTGTGTTTCGTCACCCAACTGAGGAGGAAAGGTCGGCTCCGCTACGATCGAGATTGTGATAATCTATACTTTAAAGTCTGCTTCTTCTAAACCTTCACCATGTGTGTTTCAACCAGCGAGGAAGAGAGGTCCTCTCGAGATTGAGATCGTCTACTTTGAAGTCGCATCTGACTCCGGTTTGGGGTCCAGAAGGAACCGATGCTGCCACTGTCCAATTGCATTTGGCCGAGGCTGTTTGAAGAATAACTATGTGAAACCCCGCTGGTCGACCGGTGCAAGGACGATTCCATAAGTTGGATGCCACTGCTGCTGCCAAAGCCCTGTCCTAAGCCAAAGGGTCTCGCTTGAGAACCTTTAACTGTTGGGCTCAGTGGCATCTTGACTCTTCCATCCCCTGTTACACCATAGTTCATATTGCATCCATAGTTTAGACCCAAAAAAGGCCATAAAGAAGCAATCTCATAGAAAAAGCAACCAAGGTAGTAACTAGAATAAATTGGAAATCATTTTATGTACTATGTAGATGCACGGTTAAAAACTTCGAGGGAGAATACGTCGAACGAAATATGCTGACAATGTAAGAGAACCATCAGGATTTTAGGAGCACTAAACGTGGTTAAAAGTAAAAACGATATTTATTCATGTGAATTGGTAATATCATTGAAGTAGTGGTAGTGCAAAAGTGCATCTTTTACTTGTTGCACAGAACTAACATTTTAAAATGATGCACACAGTGCATTCAACCAATAACCATTTCTTATTAAACTTTTACACACTATCAGATGAAGAGATATTGATTCCAAACAAAATTTCACGATTTGGGAACGCAAAGGGACGACCAGAAAATCAATTTTTTTTTTTTTTTTGGATAAGAAACTACCAGAAAATCATGATAAGACTAACAAAGCATAAGCAGCCTATTGAGTTCATAATATAGAACTGTGAAATTTTTCGTTCAGAAGCATGACAGATTCCTCCATGAGAGTCATTTTTCACATCCCATCTGATCAAAGATTGGCTTAATTAACACATTCACATTGCTCATGCCACTAACGTATCTCATGCTAGACAATCTCCACATGAAGATTTATAAATATAAATATCAGTACGCAGCCAGATGTTACTTGTAGAAACATACCAGAACTCATTGGACTCCACCGCTGTAACCGAAAAGGAGATGAGATGTTTAAAACAGATGTGGTGGCGACACTGTTATGCCTGAAAAGAGGGAGATATGACCTCCGGAAAAATCTAGGTACTGCACTGCCTACACAGGATAACGCAAAAAGCAGAAAAAACAATGATGTGAACAAGATGACGATAAGAATCAGAGGATCAAGCTTCATTTTAAGAATTCCATAACCCCGGAGCTCGAGCCTGGTTGCAACTGTAAATGCCTTCCCTGCCTCCAACAGTGAAACCCCAAATGTCCAAGTTGTACTCCCAGAACCAATAATAATTTGTTTATCAGTAATATGCAACCCCTCTCTCAGGAGCGAGACTACGTATGGTGCCCTAAAGCAGTATTGCTCAATAAATGGCTGTGGAGGAACACTAGCCTCTGCAACTTTCCAAGATTTCTCACAGAATTTTTGACCCCTTTCTAATACATCATCAAGTGTAGCCTCTGCAGTCAGATTGAAAAATCGAAATACCACAAAGAAACCAGAAATGGCATAGAAGTTTCCATACGGTGGAGGGTAGTTATCAGTTATGGCACAAGGCTGCACATCACAATCAAATCCAACACTTGTATTTGACCACTCAGAAAAATTTACAGCAACTTTACCAAGTGCAGAGCATTCATCCCAATTCGGAGCGCCAGTCAGCCGTAGAGAAATTCCAGAATTTCCCCCCATACCCAAAAATTTACCACACTGATTACAGGTATATCGCTCATTGTACCCAGAATGCAGGCAAGGGTGTTTAAGTACAAATTTTCCATTAGACAGGTCTAACTTCTTATGTTCTTGGATCCTTCTCAATAGGTGGACAACAGACTTCCCAAATGCATCATTCAAACCATAGCCAGTAAGAGAATAAGCATTAAGATGATAGTCAACATTGCCAATTCTAATGTTCAAACTAGACTCATTTTGTACCTTGCTTTCAAAAGTAACTTGCAAAGAAGAGCCCCCCAAGTCGAGTGCCCCATATGTCGGTTCCCTCGGTGTAGCCCCCAACAGCTGTTTTTGATAGTTAAGGGCTATCCAGCCATAGTAAGCCTCCTCTGTCCCTGTGATGGTTTTAACCCACTCTCTCTGGCAAAGGAAGGGCGAACTCTTCAATATAGACCAAGCATTGTCCAGAAGCCATTTCGAATCTGCGGGTGGCAGTTTTCTAACTCCAGCAGTTGCATAAAGGAAAAGAGATGTGCTTTCATGGGCACGCTTTGGAATTTGCTTCTCAGCCCACTGAAGCAGAGGTTTTATAGCTTTCCTCAACCCGGATATATTTCGAACCAACTTATCAAGCCCAGGTTCTGTTTCCATTCGATCATAAGCCCGTCCACTCTGAGACTTCAATTTCTTCTTCTGTCCTGTGTATGAACGTACAGCAATGGGGAGGGCTCCATTTGTCTTATAATTAACATTAGCTTGATATACATAGGCTCGAGTTCCAGTACTTCCACAGTCAAGCACCACATAGAATTTGGATGTTCCTTGAGACCAATATGAATAAATATACACAGAAACCGTATAAATTAGAAAGCAAAAGAGCAATAGACACAGGAAAAGAACAATTGTCCGCACCCACTTCCGGCTCGGCCACCAGGAGGAGCCTCCGGGCAATGTCTTCTCCTTTGAAAAACTAGCGCCGGCATTCTCTCGCTGGAGCGGCCTGAAATCAGGAGTTGCATTCCCAAGGCCGCGATTACCCTCTTCGAGATCAAGTCTACGGTAAGTAGAGAGATCTTGAAGCGATGAAGAAAGCCTTAGATTGTTCTTGAGCGCAGGACTGGAAGAAAATCCAGCAACCTGAGGAGGAGGAGAGGCGATCAGCGGCGGCGACGATGAATTATACGCATCGGCGGAAGACTGGCGGCCGGACAAACGAGTGGCTGCGGAAGAAAAGAAATCCCTAAATCCAGCAAACACCATTTTTGTGATTCGGCACAGGAGTTCAAAATTTCCCGAGAAGTGGCCCGAAATCCATCGTGATCTCGACTGAATTGCGTAGTGGTAGATCAGAGTGATCTCCAAAGTGGGGGAGAACCACAGCGCGGAGACAATGGATTTGAAAGTGTAGTTCCTTTGGGGGATTAGCGAAAAAAGAAAAGATCAAATGGCGATGGTTGGTTGAATCGAGAAATAATGGTTTGTGTTTGTCCTCGTTGTTCGCCGTTTTCTGGTCTCAATCTCATCGGATGATCAGATTCAGATCCAACTTCAGCGAGAAGCTACTCTGCCAACAAGTCCAACCGAACCAAACCCCTCTCCCTCTCTATCTCTCTCTCTTCATTTTTTAAATTAATTATTTGTATTTTCTACATATATATTTTCCATATTATTTTATTTTTATTTATTTCATTTTTTTTTGAATAGGTCGTTTGATTTGGTATGTTATATATATATATATATATCGAGAAATTGACCAACACGATGAATCTTGGCTCGGTATTGAGAGTCAAAGGACGAGATGTAATATGTCGGGCTAGTGACTTGCAAAACATAGCACACTCTGATGATGAAGTCAGTATCTAGTCAAACTAAACTCAAGAGAAAATTTAGTATTCACGTACCTCTGAATGGAACAAATGAGTTCTATTTATAGACAAGATCCCTGACCGTGTTCCCGAAAAGGCCTCAAAACTCTTTAAGGTTGTCGTGAAACACCGTGTGATGTCTTGGAGTCTGTTGGAGATTGGGGCTAAGCCTAGGTAAAGTCAATCGGTTAAACTGACAATTAGGAACAGGATTTCAAGTGGGCTTGGCCGGCTCGACCACCAAGGAAATCGGCTCGGTCATGGGGACAAGACCCAGGTGATGGAATAGCTTTTATATCGTAAGCCGCATAAGGTTGGTTTAAGCCCATCATCATACACCACGTGTAAACTGAAAATCTACCTATATATATCTCTATATATATATTATATATATATGGCCCAAATTTCACCATGCATAAATTTTATGTTTATGTTTGGCAACATGAGCCTAGCTTAGTGATAATTGATACAAGTCTATGACTTGAGAGGTTAAGCTCGAACTCCCGACCTCATTATTAAATGTCACTTCATCAAGCTTCATAGCCCAAAAACTTCACAAGCAACTTAACTTAGAGACCAATGAGAAACTAAATTTAAACTTCAGGAACTAAACGTGTCTTTTTTTGAAACTTTAAGAACTGAGTTTAAACTAAATTTAAATCCTAGTGACAAAAAATGATGATTTTTAAATTCAGGAACCAAATAGAAACCAAATCGGACGACTAAAAGTGTATTTTACCCTATTTCTTATTTAAAAAAATAGCAACTTCGTTCTTTTAATATTTAATAAAATAAATACTTGATCAAAAAATCAAAACATATAAAGGATAGAATTTAAAATTTTAAGAGATTAATGAAAAAAAAAGAAATAAGTGATAAAATTGTATATTTGGTCTAATTTTTTAAGAATTATTCTCTAAAGGCTTATTTTAAAATCAAAAATTGGTAAAATTCTTCTAAAATTTAACGTTGTCATGTACTTAAAATTCATGATCCACATACATGTATTTTTATGTCAATTGATTAAAAGAAAAAAAAACAGTTCATCCGAGAGAAATAAAATAAAAATAATAAAGAATATAATTTTAATTTAATTATTCAAAACATGCTTTACTTTCTTAAAAAAAAAAGTTTAAATGGTTTTGAATAAGTTGAAATAGCTATGAGCGTTTTTATTACAATAAAATAAAGATAAACGTAATTTGAAGACTACGTCATAATTAATTAAAATATTTCAAACATCTAAGAAAAACACGATCACATTGACAAACTTATTTCAAAACCACATCGAAAATGAACTCGAAACAAAAAGATGGGCCATCACATAGAGCGTAAGATATTGTAAAATGAGCCTTCCAATTTAATTTAATTTAACTAATCTAACCTAAAATTCGTTACCACTAATAATACTCATATTATGTTATATTACCAATTTAATTGCTATGATTTGTTTCCAGCTTTAATTTAACCTGTAAAGTTATAAAAGTTTCAATTTAGCAATAATTTAAATTAAAAATTTTAATTAGTCCCAACTAATTTTCAATTCAATTCTTATATGATTTTAAAAGTTTCGATTCGATCACCTTACCAACTTTTAATTTGGTCTTTATATAATTCTGTCAAATCTTACTAGATACATTAGTACCTTTATTACAAGCTATAGTTATTATAATAATTAATACACGACATCACAACAAGTTAATATTTTTCATTCTACTACATTGGAACAACAACTATATATTTTTTTAATTTCAAGACTATGAAGCAGCTAAAATCCACTAATTAATTATACACAATTTATCTAATTTACATATGACAAAATCAAAACTTTCAAAATCCATACATAAGAGAGCAAATCAAAACTAAACCCAATGATATCAACAAAACCCAGAAATTAAAAAAAAAAAAAACTTGCTGTATATATTATTACCAAATAAAATAATCACCAAGATTAAAACCATGTAATAATATATCATCATTATATCATCCTATACTATATAGATTAATAATAATCTAATATATTCAAAGTGAGCACTGAACATCTATCTCCAAACAAGAGGCTGTGAGTTAGATCCTCCAATACCATATATTGTATTAAAAAAATAATAATAACAACCTAATGTATTTACCATATAAACTCATTAATTAAACTCATTAGCCGATCAAAGGTGGAAAAAAAAGAGAGAGAAAAAAACTCTTCATTAATTCATTAAGATTAATTAATTTTCATTCCTGGGAAAGAACCCAAATTGAAATATATATATCTTCTGACTTCTGTATCTCCATTATCCGATCTCCACATCAAAAACATACTCAAATTACTCTCTTACCCCTCCCATCCCTCACCTCAATCTGACCCGGTGCAGCGCCGCGTACGCCAGTAGTCGGTAGCCAACCAACATAAGTGCCATAATCCCAACATCGACCCACAGCCGGTCCAACCCAACCGACTTCACGGCCGGAAAATCCGCAACTCGGCACAGCTCTCCAGTTCTCCCGCACTCGTAAACGTCGTCGTTTCGGTACTGCACTCCCAACAGAAGCTTGTAGCAGTAGTAGCTGTAACTGAGATACTTGAGCCAGACGATGAATGGCGGGATCTGCTGGATGTAGTAGCCGCCGGCGATGAGGAAGACGAGGGTGGTGACGGAGGCGAGGGTGGTGGCCTGCTTGACATCCATGAGGATCGCCCCGAAGGCTAGTCCTAGGCTCTGCGAGACTAGGACGCTGTACAGAACGATGAGGAGCGACAGGAGGAACGTGGCCGGGTGGGGGTCAAGCCCACCCATGAAGTAGATGATGAAGACAAATGCTGTTGGGAGGGCAAGCTCGAGCGGGAGGTCGCCGACGGTGCGGGCTAGGAAATAAGACGACAGTCTATACATGCCCGAGGAGCGCTCTTTTATTAGCATGGTCCGCTCTTGGGGGAAGGTGAACACGGCGTTGTAGAGCGGGTAGAACCCCCAAAAGACGGAGAAGAAGAACAACAACGCTATCTGTAAACAAAATTACTTTGGTTAATAAATATATGTTTTATAGTTATTTCGTTTTTAGTTTTCTATTTTTTAAAAATTACCCTAATTTCAAGTTTTAACCTAGAGTTTAAAAATATTTATAACAAATATATAACCAAAACAAACACGATAGTGAAACTAATGTTTCTAAATTTAATTTTTTAAAACGTGTCAGATAATTAAAAAATCTACTATATAAAATTTAATTTTTGTTGGTCTATTTCAACTTGTTGGTCTATTTCAACGCAAATCTAAATTCTTCCGTAAATATAGATGCATATATGATCTCTGTTTAGATTATCATTCAAATGCAGAGAAAGACGACGTTAAAAACGAACGAAACTTATCAAAATCGGAGTCTGAGTAGTTTGAGATAGGAAGAGAGATGAGAGGAATTCTTACTCGATCCTCAATATGAGAAGTTGGGGTGTGCCACCAAAGGAGTCCACCAAGAAATGCGACACTTATGACTTGGAAAATCCTGAGCCTATTGAAGGCGTCGTACCTTCTCTCCTTCAGCCCTCTCTGTAGCAGCACTCTGAATTGATACCACCAGCTCGTGCACCACTCTTCTTCTCCCGCTGATCTCCTCTCTCTCTCTGCACCCACCAATAATATTCACTTTTATTTTTTAATTCTCGAATCTAATTCCTCTCAAATCATCATTTAATTTTCCTAATTCAACATCACATTACAAAGGTTTTCAAACTGTGGTGGGGTGTGGTGTCATATTCATTATCCAATCTCATTCCTCAAAAAATCCCATCTTTTTCCGATCCATGATTTGATTTCTCATTTCTTTCTTTCTTTCCTCTACTCTACTTGGGAAAATAAAACGCGTTTTTTCGTAATTTACCCCAATGTTTTTCAAAAGTGATCTTGGAGTAGTTAAACTTAGTTTTCGACTTTTGTTACGTATTTGACTCCCTTTTGATGAAGTGATGTCTTAATCGCGCAATTAAATTAATTGTAGTGCAGAGTTAATTAGAGGAAAGATATTGTAGAAGGGGTTGATAATTACTTGAGGCGTCTTTTGCATAGTTTGTGAAGTTATTGGCATCCAAACTGCAAAGCTCGGCCTTCAATGTGGTGGAAATGTTCTTATCATAAGCTGAAATTAGGGCTTCCTTCACGCCCTTTTGCTCTTGCTCCATGTTCTCTCCTGGTTCATTTGTATACTTTGAATCAGGTCCAATCCCTGTCAGATCAATTTTAGTAAAATTGAAGTTTCATTGAAAATCGACCTCTGATTAATCAATCAACCTCAATCAATCATATCACAAAAACCAGTATTAAATTACGTTATATTTTTCAACGTCGGTAAAAATGTTGTGGCTATTATATGATCTAAATAAAAAGAAAAAAGAAACACACAAGACATGAATGATGGAAATTAAAAGAAAGAACATGGGGCCAATCAAAAAATAAAATGAGAGGAAAAAAGAAAGTTTTATAGGAGAGAGCATCAAAATGTGTAGTGGTAGTAGTCCAAGTGATTATAAATGGCCTACACATGACTCAATATTATAAAAAGAGAACAAAAGGACAATAAATTAAAAAAAGAACTCATTTTCCCAAAAATTAAAACACACCCAACTTACTTTTTTTCCCCTTCCTTTTTTGCATATTGGCACACCAAAAGAAAAACACCCATATAAAGAAATAAAAAATCTTTTGCAAAGAAGGAGAATTGAAGTACCCATTTCATAACCTTCTGGTCCTGGTTTTTAATTTTATTAAAGAATTATTTATGATTTTGTTCTTCATTTTTTTAAAATAGAAATTTCGAAACCAAAAAACAAGTCTTTTGATTCTTGTTTTGGTTCGGATATGTAATTCTTTCGTATTATAAATGAGGAAACACAAACAAGAAATGAGTTGGGAGTGAATTACCGTTTGCAAGATCGAGCAGTAAATCGGCGGGATTAATGGTAATGGAGGAGGAGAATCCGATAGAGGAGAAGTAATCGACGGCGGAGGAGGCCGGGCCGTAGTAGATTGGGCTTCCTTCGGAGAGGAGAATGAGTTTATCGAACATGTGGTAGAGGCGGCTGGAGGGCTGGTGGATGGTGGTGACGACGGTGCGGCCGGCGGCGGCGAGGCGTTTGACGGTGGTGACGATTCTCATGGCGGTGGTGGAGTCGAGGCCGGAGGTGGGTTCGTCGAGCAGCAGCAGGCTCGGGTTGATCAGCATCTCCTGCCCGATGCTCACCCGTTTCTTTTCCCCGCCGGAGATGCCCCGGAACAGGGGCCCGCCGATCATGCTGTTCCGGCAGCGGGCGAGGCCGAGCTCGGAGACGACGCGGTCTACGGCGTCGGCCTTGTCGGCAGCGGAGAGGGAGGAGGGGAGGCGGAGGAGGGCGGTGAAGAGGAGGGTCTCGGCGACGGTGAGGTGGGGGTAGAGGACGTCGTCCTGGGCCACGAAGCCGGTGCGGCGCTTGGTGGCGCCGGAGAAGGGGTGGCCGTTGTAGGTGATTTTGCCGGAGAGCTTGCCGGAGAGGCGGCCGCCGAGGGCCGTGAGGAGGGTGGTCTTGCCGCTGCCGGAAGGGCCGAGCATGGCGAGGATTTCGCCTGGCAAAACGACGCCGCTTAGGCCGTTTAGGATGGTCTTTTCCCTGTAGTTGGTTCCGCCCCACCAGTTGCCTTTCTCCTCCAATTTCACTTTGTACACAATTTCTTCAAACTGTAACACAATCGCGAAACAAAGATACGATTTATACACCAAATATAAACTTTTATTATAATTAAAGAGAGAGAGAGAGGGGGAAGAGGGAGACCTTGAGAGTAACAGTGAGGAGGGGAAGTTGGTGGACATTATTATTTGTATTTAGGGAGTCGATTTGAAAAGGGTAGGCGAGAACGGCGTCGTTCTGGGGGTCAGACGACATGATCTCTGCTTCTGCTTGTTGTTGTTGAAGTTGCAGTGTAAGGAATTAGAGTGGCAATGGGAGAGAGGAGATGTGTTGTAAATATGGTTGAAGGAAGTGGGGAGAGAGCAAACAAATATATAGGGAGAGAGAGAGAGAGACTATGATGATGGGTTTTCTCTCTCTCTCTCTCCTGAGGGCTGATGGGATTCCACCTTGTTGCTGCTTTGGCTTTTCTAATGTGTGTTAGTTTTTTTTTTAAATTTATTTTTTTAATAATTATTCTCACACTTAGCTTTCTTCTTCACCATTCTTTATATTAACTACTAAACCCTATACACCCCTTTTTCATTTTTACTCTCTCTCTCTCAATCTCAAATATGCATTTTTTGCTTTGGTGTGGGTTCAACTTCAACCATTTCGGGGAGGAAAAGAATGAGAAGAAAAAGTTGAAATTTTCATTTGAAAAATATTCCTGGCTCACCTGTGATCGTCTATCTTTTGTTGACGACCATTAAACTTTGAAAGTTTTTCTTGTTCACCCGTCATCACCTATTTTTTGTTGATCACCATTAAAGTTTGAAAAAAACTTTCTATGTGGTCCGGTAGCATGTAGACAACTGGATTACACAGGAATTATACAAGATTAAAAAATCCACTTGTGTATAAAAACTGGAAAATGAAATGTACCACTGAATTTGTTTAAACAAAAGAAGAAAATGAAAACTTAATGATTACTACACTCATGAAGAAAAAAGGGATTTCACTTATTATTATACACTTTGCATTTTGGAAAGGGGAAGAGAGGAGAATCCAAGTCTCCTCTCCCGACTGTGGAAGAAAAAAAAAGATTCAACTTGATAAATCATTAATCATCATTCATTTTGCCTTCCATTCAACTTATTTTATATTCATTACTATGATCATCTTTCCAATAAAGTTCATTCATTTTTATTTGTTACAACTAAAGTTTAATTAGTTTATATGGCTTTCATTCAAAACCATTTTCATAATATAATATAAATATAATTATTTGATTCAATGTTTGGTAGTATAGAAATATATATATATATATATATATATAGTAGATAATGGAAAAATAGGTAATGTTTAACTTGACTTATAGAAATAGAGATCAAAATGTCAATATACTAGTGGATGAAGGTTCCTTCTACCTAATTATGATAAAAGGTTATCTAATTTTGAGTGATTTTTTTTATGCCATATGAGAGAGTAAGGATGATTTAATGTAACTTTGGAGTAATTAATGTTTTCAAAGGATAGAGAAAAAGGGGAAAAAAAATTGGTACTTCATTGATTTCTTTTTTAAAGTCTTAAAGATGATGAAGAACTTCAAAAATAATATTTTAAAATTAGTCAAAGAACATTTTTCACTATTTCATAAAGAAAAACGTTTAAAATTCATTCTACTCGTTCTCTTGAGTTTTGATCACCATAAATGGTGGGTTAGAATTGAATCTTCCTTCAAAATTCAAAAAATTATCCCATTAAAAATAAGATAAAAAATTTTACGCACGTGATAAACATCAGGATCAAATGAAGAGAAAAAATTATACTAATTGACAAAAAGTTTGATTATAGATAAAGAATATGGACCAAAGATTGGAATAATCAACCCGATTTAAAAAAAATGGTACAAGAATTTTAATAAAACAAGTCGATACAAATCACAAACACTATTGGCTCAATCTATTCACTGTTCAATTATAATGCCTCAGCATTTTTTTTCCTCGCTTTACATTTCAGGTCACAAAACTACGAAAGAATTTCGATCACTTATATTTACACAAAGGAAGATCTCTTAGAAGAGATATATTCGTCGTAAATTTAATCGATCGTTAAACGATAAGACACGCGCTATTAAAATTCTCATTTTGTTATTTTTCTGTGAAGGAAAATATACTCAAATAGTTGCTATTTAAATTTGATCCACTCGTTTGATTTTTTAGTATGACTCAGATTCCGACACACAAATATATATTAGCACATGAGTAGGGAGGGAAGAATTTTAAATAATTATAAAATGAAAATGCATTTGGAAAAAAAAAGATAAAAAAGAAATTGACAATTCAAAGAGGGGACCTGTTGGGCGGTGGCTATGGCTTTACTTTTTGGAGATAAAGCCCTGTTTTAGGGTTTTTTTTTTTCTTTAGAGAGAGAACCAAATTGAAATTAAAATCTCTCATTGTTTTTAATTTTTGTTGTCAAGTGTTCTTCTTCTTCTTTTTTCTTTTTTTAATAAAAAAGTTTGTATATTTTTATTTAGGGTCTTATCAAAATCCACTATTATTTGTATATTTTCAACGTAGGATTCCTCATTCACTAAAATATTAACAATATCTTCCCAATTAGATTGGAGATTTGTAAATTAAAAACAAAATAAAAACAAAAAGAAATACATTTTTTGTTTTTATTTAATGTTTTCTATATTTAAAATTTCTTACCTTTTATCACCAAAATGAAGAAAGTGTTTTTTTTTTCTTGAAAAAAAAGTATCATTCGTTAGAGTACGGGAGAAACCTACAAAAAATGAGGCTTTAAAGAAAATTGTTCAAATTGAGAGAAATTGTAACAATATCATAATTACAAAAATGGAGGATTTTGAAGACCAAAGAGATGCAGAGATCTTTTTATCCTCCCAAAGACTAAGGAGCGATTTTGATAAGTCAACGAAAATGCGATTGTTTCACTCTAGCCAAATGTTCCATAAAATAGCACCAATAGCATTGCTCCATAATACATGTCATTGTCGTGTTAGCGGGGAGGAGAGCTAGGACGTTCTCACAAACTAAGTGATGGATGTGATTAGGGAGCACAAAGGCTATTTTGAAAGTGTTGAAGAGACAAGTCCATATAGCCACTATGAAAGGGACAATGAAGAAATATATGATCTATAGTCTCGTTGGATGAAAGGCAAAAAGATCACCGGTTCTGGGCTGATATAGAAGGTAGGTTGTCGATGTTGAAGCTTCTATTGTGTATTTAAGTAAAAGTGGTTTTTTACTTGACACGCTGATTTTGTAATTTTATTGCTAAGATCTATTTAATAATGATTTTGTTTTTAATTTTTACTGTTTTAGTTTTAATTTTCACTTTTTACAGAACAATTTTGATATTCTATCATTAGTCAAAACTTAAGTAAATAAATTTACTGTTTGATGGATAATTATTTTATTTTTATCGTATCAAATCACTTGAATTTCCACCAACTCACAAAAAATGGTAGAAAAGTATATGTTTTGGTTCAAACCAATTATAGTTGTTTGAAAATGAAAATTTTCATAGAAAAATCACCAAAATTTTTTTAACCACAAACATTCTTAGTTAGGAATGAGATTCCAAGCCCCTTTTGAATGAATGAAAAAAAAAAAAAGATTTTTCAAAACTACCTTTTTTTCCCCAAAGTTTAAGGTAGATTACCAAACAAAAGGGATTAATTTTAGTAAAAAAAAGCCTCGATTTCCTGAAAAAGAAAAACAAGTAAGAAATCAGACAAGCACCAAAGTAAATTACTGTTGTACCCTCACAAGGAGGGAAAATTGGCTATACATCAATTGTTGAAGCATGGCACTATTGGTCAATGTGTACACTGTCACAGTCGATATGTCGTTCAAAGGCATGCACAGTAATATGATATGTCGTCAATAGGGAGCCACTGTTACTACAGATAAATTGTTAGCCATACAAATTAAAGCTCTTCAATCCTTTCAACACAAAGGTTTTTTCTTTTTGGTTAAGATGTTGGAGACAACATCTCTCTTTCTTTTCATGTTTTGCAAATGTTTCTCTCTCCCCAGAACAAATTAGGAGAGAGAGACTGAGTTAAATTTACTTCATATGGAAGGATCTAGGGCAAATTCCTTCCTCTTGAAGGTTTTTTCTTTTTTCTTTTTTAAGAGCGATCAGAGGAGTTGGTGGAGCGTGAGGTAACTAAAGGATTAAAGAGAGCGAGTAATAAGTTTCGAGAGAGTATTTTTCATGTTTATAGCAAACCAATGCTAGAATTTTTAATAGAATATGGGTTACGCATGTATTTTTGCTATCTTAATTAAACCAAGAGAAATGATTTAATTTTGTGTAATTTTTGGTATACGAGAATAATTATAAATTGACCATAGATAATATTTGTAGATTCCATAAATTAATTTCTAGTTTGATGAGGGGTCAAATTAGAAATAAGGAGAATCTTGTAACGAATTAGTAGCTTTTGGTGTAGAGGGGTTATGGTCCCAACGTCACATATCATTGTTGATATTCTCACCCCATCGATTTCAGAGGGAGAGAGGGAACTACTTCTTCTACATACAAAGGAGAAACTTGAGAAAATTTAAGGCTATAATCATGATCTATCCTAGACTTAGAAGATAAAATATCATCATTCGACTTTCAACTTAATGGATTAATGTATAGTACTACTGCTTTTCTTTGAGTCTAATTCTCTTGAATTCGATATATAAAATCGATCTTGTGGCTTCAAAGTTTATGAGTTCAAATTTTCCTACCATTAATATTTTCCAAGGTCTAACCATGCATGTTGATTCTAACTTGGTTTTTATATGGAACTAAGAAATTATAGAATTCTAGCTAGGTTGAAGATGTTGGTTTTATTTATTTATTTTTTTAATTTTTAATTTTTTAATTTAAGGGAAGAGTTACCCAATTATCTTCAAACTGACCAAAATAGATAGACTACCATTGAAATTTTGACAAATTTTCTTATTCATTTTTTCTGTTTGTACAACTTCAACTAGCATGTATGAGTTTACATATTTCATAAAGGTATCTTTCACTTAAAACTTTTTGTTTTTTTTGCCTAGTTTTGAAATTTGAGAAAGATTTCAAACCATTTTCAAAAAGCAAATTATTAATGATAAACAGACTTATTTTTCATAGAAATAAAAATCTAAATCAAAACGCCCATCAACCTTTCAAAATAATTCAGCTCCCCCTTTCTCCGAATCAAAACAACATCCTACTCGATCAAACAAAAACGACAACACCAATGGAAAAGAGAATATCTTCCCTTTCAACTAGGCAATCTTCATAGATGAAAAGAAAATCAAATGGGCATTTGTGAACTTTTCAAAGGGCATATGTAAAGACAAACCCTTAAAAAGAGTCTTGAAAGGCAAAATTTTTAGGTTAGATATGAGTAGGACATGTTTGG